CCTAACCGAGAACACACTTCAGCTTGCAAAGATGAGCAAGCTGCTCATGGCAATCGAACATGGAACTGAGGTCTACAAAGTCAAATCTCTTGATAAGATTGATTTGGGCATACAAAGTGAGTAGAAAATAGATTTCATGATAGAATGCAATTTATACTTAAAAATGCTGTTTTTTTTGTTCTACTCGCCACTTTAGTATGTGAAATAAGATAAGTTCACAAAATGTTTTTATCAAAACAGGTGGTTTTGTCTTCAATGAGAATTCTTTGGAAACAGCTCAAGACTCCTGTGGTATGAAGCCGTCAGAGCTGTTACCTTGAATATCAGCTTTCTTTCCCGTCTATAAATGACAGTAACTAAAAATGTCCATCCTGGTTACTTCTTCTCTTTAAGGTTCCTCCAAACGCAAGAGGTCAAAGATGGCATCTGAATCATCTCAAGTTTCAGACGATATGAATATTTTTTTGGGTCATGCGAGGAGCACTGTGGAATGAAATATTGTATTATCTGATAAGACAATGTCTTGTGGTTAATAGTGAGGTGATGTGTTTTTCTGCTGCAGTAGAAATGACATGTTGACTCAACAAGCCTCAGCTACAGGACCATCACACAAGCTAAAAAGGACAGAGAAAAAAGGTACTGCTCAGTTCTCAGACTTGAATAGTGTTAATTAGAGTTTATGTGGATTAACAACACATTACAAATTAGATCACCAGATAAATTTGTGAGAACGTCTATCACATTTGTCATTTCTATTTCAGCTGTGGACCTACAGTTACTCAGCAAAAACAAACGCCAGCGCAGGCCGTGGAGTTCTGCAGAAAAAGCAGTGGTGTGGCGACAACTGGGGCAGTGCATCACTATGCAAAGACTTCCTGGTAAATAGGTCTGCCTCAAGGCACTTGAAGCAGAACCAGCACTGGGCAGTCACAACTGGAAAGATTTTAAAAAATAATGTCCACAACTCCATCATGTCTCAAAAAAGGAAATTGTTGTAGTTCATTTTTAATTTATGTTGTGCAAATAAAGCCAGTTGTGACTAATTTCATGTGCTAAATTGTTTATCAAGCTTCTATCAATGGAGTGGGTGAATTAAAATAAGTAAATCAAGATTAGAGGACTTTGACAAACATTGCTTTCAGTGTTACTGGTATTAAGCCAACTTAGCAAGTGACATGTAAGATTGAAAAAATCTAAAGTTTAGATGTCTGCAAAACTACCCAGTTTTAAATGCAGAGATGCATACCAAGTACCATTTTTATAATACATTTTTTAATAGATGTAAATACAATCAAATTTAACCCTTGTGTTGCATCCAGGTCAAATTGACCCTTTTTTAGATTTTTACTAAAAGAAAACTGACAAAAGAAAAAAAGCTGTTGACCTGAACCTACATGGACTATACATTATATTTACATATAAATAGTCTGAACCAAAGCCCCAGGGACTCTATGCTTCATTATCACCAGAGAGTACTGCAGGAATGGAGCTCCATACTGGGGGAAAGGAACCGGCTAGCTCCCCTGGTGAACCAGAGCTCCAGGCACCTGGCGCACCGGTTGAACCCGTGTACCCACGCTTAAGCCCCCTCCCGGGGCTAAACAATTTAAAACCACCCGGCCACAACTTCGTGCCCCTGGTACTCCAAATGGAGTTTCATGCCTCTGGTATTACACTGTGTGGGAACAGAAATATTTCTAAGTCCCAATATTGAGTACCAGGTATAGTTGTTTTTGGCGGCCTGTTTTAATTTTAGTTTTAGTCTAGTCTTTATGTGAAGCTGTCATTTTAGTTTTAGTCATGTTCATACTCTTTTTAGTCTAGTCAAGTTTCAGTCAACTAAAAGTCTGAGCATTGTAGTGTTATTTTAGTCATAATTATCCATGACTATTTTCATCTAGTTTTAGTCAACGAAAACTGATGACATTTTAGTCTAGTTTTAGTCTCTTTTTAGTAATGCAATTCTATTTAACCCAGTCAATAGAGTATAAGTACCTAGTAGTATCGACAAAACAAATATTTTCTTTTAGCCAAACCCATTTCAAACAAGGTTATCTTATTATATTATTGTTACCTTATAGACTCAAGAATACATCCATTCCAGACACGGAAGACGCTCTGATTTGAATGTACATTTATTTTACCAACCAAACATGTTAGAAGTACACACACATACATTTAAATAAAATAAATAAAATAGCATCACATGACAATGCCAGAAAAAATGAATACATTCAAGTTTAACAAAGAGAAACAAGGTGCTTGAATGCTCGAACTACAATAACATACTAAAAAGTGCAAATAAAATGTGTGTGTTTGTTACTTGTATTGCTTGTAAACTGAAGTCAGATTTTGCATCAAAACTATTAAAAGAAATAACACTACAAATGGTTTGGACCTTAGAGAGATATAATGGGATGGAAAGCACTGGCTGCATACAGTGGAATTCGCTGACAGAAAAGAACAATACTGAATTATGTCAACTACTGAACCAAATAACCAGCAGTCTCAACAGCAACTACATAAACTGTAACCTCCTGGGTGTGTTATTTTAAAACTGGTTGTCACAAACAACAAAAAAACAAAACTGTCCAGTACACATTACTCTTTGGCTATTTTTTTGACATCAGATTTTCTTTTCTCTGTGCCTGACACAGATAAAGTCTTCACAACCAAATCAGAATCAACAATTTAAGAGCAGCAGAGTTTTTTTTGCATGGATATGGGAAAGGCTGCTTATTAAAATGCTCTGTGTTTGTGTGTGTGTTTGAACAGTACATGCATGCTTCTTGCATGTCTGTTCAGGCCAGCCATTAACTACTACTTAGGCTTGTTTACTTTGAGGAAAGCGCTTCTTTCCAAAACGGTCCTAGCCCTGTTCCTGCGGCCACAAGAGAGGTAACCAGTTACACTGAAAACCCTCTCTGTAAATGCCAGAGAGGCTGGCATCGCCAGGAGGTCCAAGGCCAGAGGTTTCAGTGTTGGAAATGCAGTGGAACCCTGAGCTAACCAATACCCAATGCCGGATTCCTCAACCTCAGCACTAGTAGCAGCAGTCTGGTGGGACTCGGACAGCCCCTCTTTATATTTTAAAATCTCCTGCCTAATGTTTGTTGTCTTGGCTATCTTGGGCCTTGATGGACGATTAGCACTGAAGAACAGATGTGGCGACAGATGACTTCCTAAATTTGTTCACCAAGTGCCTCACTTTCTCCAACAGCCTTCGGATTAGGGGTTCCATCTGGACCATATTCACTACAAGCTGTACAGTGTGAACCGCGCATGGGGTCCAATCTATGGCTCCATAGTCGTATCTACATGGAAATAATAAAAAAACAAAAACAAAATGTACATATTTAACCATTTTAGCCCTTACATTATTGAACCAAATGAAATAGTTCCAATAGTTAGGTTCCTATGAACTTTAGTCTTTATGTACTGTATATGAAATTAAATCATGACCAGTTTCATAAATGCTGAATGAATTAATAGCATAATTTAATCTTTTAACTTTCTATGGAATTATTTTTTTATTCATAAAATAATATATGACCAGTTACATAAATGTTGAATGAATATTGTATATAGTATTTTTTTATGTTTCTTACTGTCCCTCTGTGTTTTTACTCTTTATATGTAAAGTGTTTTTGTGTACTTTGAGAGCAAAAACTAACCAGTCAAATTCCTTGTTTGTATATGCAAACCTGGCCAATAAAGCTGGTTCTGAATTAATAGCATAGTTTCATACACAGACCTACCTTACCTGTCATTCTCCCCTTCCTGATGCTCATAGTCATCATTGTCATGCTCTGCCTCTGAGTCCTCTTCAGAAGTTGTGGCAACGTCTGCATGTTTGTGGAACGAAGCCCTCAAATTGCTGTCATTGTCAGTAATCGTTGTGAGGACCTTCTGTCTGGGGATCCCCCATTCTTCCATTGACTCCTCCACAAGTGTACTAATCGACTCTGCGGTGTGAGGGTGAACCATCTCCTTCAGGTTCAGGAGTTTGTGTTCAGCTGTGTTGTCCTCAGGCTTGAAGTAACAGGTGCCGACTCCCAGGAAGGATGCTATAAGCCCCTTTTTAGTCCAAATATCCAACCCTGTAGTTATTCTGCGTGCTGTGGCCAGTTTTTGTTTAATCTTTTCTTTCTCTTCTTTGTACATTTTGTCAATCAAGTTTAAAATTTTATGTCTTTTTGGCACTTTGAACTTTTTGTCCATTTTTGCCATCATGGCGATGAACTCCTCACCTTCAACAATTCATGCTGGGAGCCCTGTGCAGCCTATCCACTGCACTATCCCCTCCTCTTTGGTACGTTGCTCTGGGGAGTTGTCATTGTACCTCCTTGTGGCAAAGAAATCCTGAGCACTACTTGGCTTGTCCATCTTCTTGGGTGGGACTTGCTTCACTGGTGCTATTTCTGGAATCTAGCACAGGAATAGATACGGTGTCAGGACAGATGCAGCCTCTGGAAAATCTAACTGTTGTAAATATTAAGTAGCATAAATCCTTGCTATGATTTTTACCATAGTAAATCAACCTCTGAGTGAGTGACTTGACTGTCCTTAAAAGAAAAAAGTCTACATAATCAAAACATACGATTTGTTTACATGCATGTATTAGTCTAGAATAAGGTATTCAAAGTCATGTTGTTGATGCCAAATTCAGTTCAGTGTGATTGCTATGTGAATGACAAAACTAGCTACAATATTTGGCCTCATGAGTTGGCATGAGCTTTCCAAAACAAAAAGTAACGTTACGTTAATGTCTTGACTTACCTCAATTTCATTACGGAATGTCTTGAGATGTCTCTTAAGGTTCGTGTTTTTTTCCTGTGATTTTGTGGCCGCATTTCTCCCCATCTTTTTCCACAACACATTCCGTTTTCTTTTCCAATTCTATATAATGAAAGTTTTTCCAAATATCGTTTCTTCTTTTTCTCCCAACGAACCCCGGCTGGCCGGCCATCTTCACTTTCTCTCTGTCAGACTTAACTTTGTTTGTTGTCGTCTTCTAAATAATGCCGCGAGTGGGGCTTAAAGAAGTGACGTCGTCTGCGTCTGCGCAGTGCGACCTGATGCGGCCCCTGAAGCATGACACAGGAAACAGAAATACTGCAAAATAAAAATAATAACGCGACTAAACAAGACGAAATAACATTTCGTTTCGTCTCGTTTTGGTCAACGAAAATGAAGAGACATTTTAGCGTAGTTTTTATTTTGTAAATCACATTTAGTCTCTTTTTTGTCAACAATATTGCATTCTACATTTTATTATGGTCATCGTCACATGACCAGCATTTACGTTGCGTCTCGTCTCGTTTTCGTCACGTGATAAAGGTTCGTTGACGACGATATTTAGTCACAATTTTCGTTGACGAAAGCAACACTAATACTAGGACCACAGGTCATTAATTTTTCTAAGTCCCAAACAGGCTATGCTGCACTCTGCTTCACCCATGGAGAACCACACATCTCCGGCCAGGCTCTTATCATCTCTGGGCCCTCACACTGACCCCCCCAGCCTCTGCTACACTTTACCCAGGAAGGAGCACACACCTCCGGTCCAAAAAGTGAACACCACACAAGGGTTAAATACACTTTACATTGGCAAAATTAAATACCACATGCTTCCATCTCTGTAATGCTGTGGTTTGGGTTAACCAGGAAAGTAAGATGGGACAGTTATGAAAGATCTGCTAAAATCTGATGATATTACATTCATTGCTTTGTTGCTTTGTGACAGAAGGTCCAGTTCACCAAATTTGCTTGGCAACAGGCTCCAGTCCTCACACGTGTAGAAGAAAAAGATTTTTTTTATTTCGAGTTTTCTGAATTCTGAAGTGACATTTTGATTCTCTATTGCCACCTCATGATAGATTTGTGTTTTGCACCATTGTAGCTATAGTAGAAGTGGTGGCCCTCACAGAAGTCACAGAACATGGGCCACACAAAGGCATAAAGACGTGTGTGTGTAGTATTTTTAGTGTAGGTGGGTCATTTTGACTTGGTCATTTGAAAAGTAGCTCACAAGGCAAAAAAGTGTGGGCACCCCTGCTTTAGTGTTTCTAGTTGGAGCTTGTGGAGACTGATAATTGTCCTCAAGTGATGTCTCTTGAGTTAAGTGTTGGTGGGGTCTGAAAGAATCTTTGCTGCAGGCTACATTAGCTGCTACTACATATCCTGAACACAGACTGTTTGAACTCCTCCCCTCTGGACGGTGCTACAGCCAGACACAAGGACAGTTTGTACTGGAAATTTTATGGTAGCATCCTTTTAAGTTTATTGGCTCAAGCTCCTCTCCTATGGAACCAACTCCCAGTTTCAGTTCGAGAGGCAGATACCCTCTCTACTTTTAAGACTTAAGACTTTGCTTTTTGATAAAGCTTATAGTTAGGGCTGGATCAGGTGACCCTGAGCCCTCCCTTAGTTACGCTGCTATAGGTCTAGGCTGATGGGGGTCCCATGATGCTCTGACTTTGTCTCCTCCGCCCTCTCTCTCCATGCAACTACAATATATGCCACCACTATGCGTCACTGTCTCCTCTCTCCCGTAGTGTGTCCTCTCTCTCCCAGTACCTTTGTGCAGGTTGCCCTGGCTCTGGAGCTCTATGTTTCTGAAGAGCAGTCACCGGTCACATCAACCTGCCCAGTGTTTGTTTGTTGTGTCTGGTTGAGGCAGAAAGCCCCCCACCAAGAGCCGGGGTCTGTTGGTGGTTTCTTCCGTTAAAGGGAGTTTTTCCTCCCCACTGTCACCAAGTGCTTGTTCAATGGGGATTTGTTGGGTTTTCCTCTATAATAGTAATGTCTAGACCTTACTTTGTAGTGTCCTGAGATGACTTTTGTTGTGATTTGGCACTATACAAATATATTTGAATTGAACTGAATTTGAACTACAGGACAATAATTTATAGATATAACCATTGCACACAAAAAATAGCTCTTTTTTAACTTGTATAAAGTAAAACCTTGGATTGCAAGTAACCCGGTCTGTGAGTGTTTTGCAAGATGAGCAAAAATTTTAATTTGATAAACGAGAGGTCTTGCAATATGAGTAGTACGTACGCTCTGTCGAGCGTCACGTGATGTATGTCACAACTGAGCCGATGGTTCTCCTGCCTCACTCGTATAGTCAACATCTGTACTGCAATGGCCCCTCACGCCCGCCACAATTCTTTTCAAAGGTAAAGCGCAGGTTAATTTATTTTATTTTTTTCTTTATACTGTATTTTGTATTACTGTAATCATTTTTGTATGAACAAGTGGTTGTGGAGCGAATCGTCTGAGTTTCCATTATTTCTTATGGGGAAATTTGCTTTGATATACGAGTGCTTTGGATTACGAGCATGTTGCCGGAACAAATTATACTCGCAATCCAAGGTTTTACTGTATATGTACACATTTATCAATAGATTGTTGTCATCTTGTTTTGTTTAGTTTTTTTTTTAACTTATTCTGTCTTTTTATTTTATTCTGTCTTGTTAAGTGCACATTGGGGGCTACTGAACTGGAGTCAAATTCCTTGTATTTTAACATACTTGGCAATAAAGATTATGAGTGATTGATTGATTTACTAGCATAGCACAGTTGAACTCTGACCAAACTAAGCAGCATTTTGGTCTAAGATAATGTCAGTTAAAGCTTATTAATATCAACAATGTTTCTCACAACTATGCAATGCATGTTGGGTTATCTACTTCTTATTTGACTTAATCTCACAGCAGACCTGAGTATTAGAATCTCTTATGTGGAAGGGAGAGTACTGAACTTACGAGTGTAGCTGCCAGTGAAACCAGACTGGGTCAAGCACCTCTGGAGCTCCTCCGCGTCAACCTCACCATCCTGTGCAAAGCAGGAAGTTAAATTCAGTCATGCTCGACTCTCACAGGAATAAACATGTCCAGGAGAGTGGCCTGCTGGCCAAGCATGGAGTTAAGACACTGAACTCACCCATGGCCCCGTGTAAGGTAATACTCAAGTACTTTATTACTGTATATATGCTGAGTGAAAATAACTGGAAAGAAAGAGAACATATGAATTTAAAGCATCTACAGGAGTTGTTCAGACAGACAAAACAACACTTGGCTTATCCTAAACACAGACTGGTGTAATGGAGGGGGACCCGTCGCTACATCAGTTTGGACAGCTTCTTGTGATTATACTTTGTTTTGTTTTATTAACCTCTTTCTGAAAGATAACTAGTAACTCAAGTCATCAAATAAATGTAGTGAGTACAAAGTACAATATTTTTCTCTAAAATGTAGTGAGGTTGAAGTAGCAGAAAAGGAAAATACTCCAGTACAAATACCTCAAAACTGTATGTAAGCACAGTACTTGAGTAAATGTACTTAATTACTTTCCATGCACAGAAGAAAAGATAGCATATAATTTGTTTCTTAGATTTGTTTGTGTTTAAGAATTTTAATTCTTCCAGTTTTGTGGATAATGCAGAACTCACTGTTTTAATCTTAAATAGAACTTTAAGAATAGAATCCTGCTAATACAAGGTTTTACAACCATGTAGTGAATGATTTCATAAAAGCTGATAGAACTGTTTCTCGTCCTCACCCAAAATATCAATAATTCAGTAGGACTCAAGAAAATCAAGTTGTAGTTTATCCACACCTACCTGGCCTGCTATGGCTGTAAAGCTACCCCACATTGGATCACTGGCAGTAGGTGGTTGGCCACCGAATGTGCCTCCTCCATAGGGGGGATATCCTCCTTGGGGTGCTGGACCTCCCATCAGTGTGCTTCCCATCTGCCCCCCCATGGGGCCTCCCATAGGCCCTCTTTGCATTCCCTGGGGTGGCATCCCCTGAGCTGGCATGCCCGGTATCTGGCCCCCATACTGCAACAGAAAAGAGATTAAAAAAGCAGGTATTTATTACACTAAAGTTTTGTTTTTTTAAGTGTGCTAAAACTCTAAAAATGCCTATTTTTGTATTGTCTCCTGAATGTGAGTCTGAGCGTTTATAGTTTGGTTAGGTAGTATCAATGCACACTCCGGGTTGGAGTGACTAGAAGAAGGAACAGCACCCGCACACTACACACATTTTGGAAATGAATGGTGATAACCTGTCCTCCCATGGGCCCACCACCTGCAGGAGGATTCGTAAGGGGCTAGAGCACAGTGGATCGGGCAGCAGTCGAAGGCAAGGGCCCCGATGACCTGATCTCTGGACATGGAGACTAGTCCTGGGGACATGGAATGTCACCTCGCTGGTGGGGAAGGAGTCCGAGCTTGTGCAGGAGGTTGAGAGGTACCGGCTAGCACCTCCACGCACAGCTTGGGCTCTGGAACCTTACTCCTTGAGAGAGGCTGGACTCTCATCACTGATTGAGGAAAATAAGAACAACCCCAAGTTTATTTTCAGCACTGTAGCCAGGCAGCCAAAGAGCCGCAGTGCTGTGGAGCTTAACATTCCTTTAGATCTCAGCAGCAATGACTTCATGAGCTTCTTTACAAATAAAATCACAACTATTAGAGAAAGAAATTGGTCAGACCACTCCCACAGCTTTCATGGATGTGCCATCTACTACAGTGGCTTTAGAAACATCTGTAAGACCTCATTTATACTTGGACTACTTCTCTCCCAAAGATTTCTCTGAGTTGACCTCAACAATTGCTTCATCTAAATCATCAACATGTCTCCTGGACCCAATCCCGACCAGGCTGTTCAAAGACGTCTTTCCCCTAATCAACACATCCATACTAGATCTGATTAACCTCTCTCTATTAACAAGTTATGTTCCACAGGCTTTTAAACTTGCAGTAATTAAACCTCTACTCAAAAAGCCTACTCTTGACCCAGGTGTCCTAGCTAATTATAGACCAATATCCAATCTCCCATTTATTTCCAAAATCCTTGAAAAAGCTGTTGCAAAGCAGTTATGTGACCACTTGCACAAGAATGATTTGTTTGAGGATTTTCAGTCAGGATTTAGAGTCCATCATAGTACAGAAACCGCATTGGTGAAAGTCACCAATGATCTTCTCCTAGCCTCGGACAAAGGACTTGTGTCCATACTTGTCCTCTTAGATCTCAGTGCTGCTTTTGACACCATTGATCACAGCATCTTACTGCAGAGACTTGAACATGTTATTGGGATTAAAAGAACTGCGCTACGTTGGTTCAAATCTTATTTATCAGAAAGATTTCAATTTGTTCATGTTAATGACGAATGTTCCATACAAACTGAAGTTAGTCACGGCGTTCCACAGGGCTCTGTGTTAGGTCCAATTCTCTTCACTTTATACATGCTCCCTTTAGGTAATATTATCAGGAAGCACAACATAAATTTCCATTGCTATGCAGATGATACTCAGTTATATTTATCTATGAAGCCAAATGAATCAGATCAGCTGGTCAAACTTCAAGCATGTCTTAAAGACATAAGGGCCTGGATTACCTGCAACTTCTTACTTCTAAACTCTGACAAAACTGAAGTCATTGTGCTTGGGCCAGAAAATATTTGAAATCTGCTATCTAATCATATAGTTACTTTAGATGACATAGCTCTTGCCTCCAGTACTACTGTGAGGAACCTTGGAGTCATTTTTGATCAGGATAACACATAAACCAAGTCTCTAGATCTGCCTTCTTTCACCTGCGCAATATTGCAAAAATTAGGAGCATCCTGTCTCAAAGTGATGCTGAAAAACTGGTCCATGCATTTGTTACTTCCAGGCTGGACTATTGTAACTCTTTACTATCAGGATGTCCCAATAATTCCCCAAACAGCCTCCAGTTAATCCAAAATGCTGCAGCCAGAGTACTGACAGGAACTAGCAAGAGAGATCATATCTCTCCCATATTAGCTTCTCTCCACTGGCTCCCTGTAAAATTCAGAATAGAATTTAAAATCCTTCTCCTAACATACAAAGCCCTTAATGACAAGGCTCCATCGTATCTTAAAGACCTCGTAGAGCCTTATCATCCTAACAGAGCACTTCGCTCTCAGAGTGCAGGTTTACTTGTGGTTCCTAGAGTCCACAGAAGCAGAATGGGAGGCAGAGCCTTTAGCTATCAAGCTCCTCTCCTATAGAACCAACTCCCAGTCTCAGTTCGGGAGGCAGACACCCTCTCTTCCTTTAAGATTAGACTTAAGACGTTCCTTTTTGATAAAGCTTATACTTAGGGCAGGATCAGGACCCCTTGAGCCTTCCCTTAGTTAAGCTGCTATAGGCCTAGGCTGCTGGGGGGCCCCATGATGCTCTGTGTTTCTCTCCCCTCCCCTCCCCTCCCCTTTCCTCTCCTGTCCTCTCTCTCTATGCAACTATTACACATCACTAACTTTGTGTCTCCTCTCTCCTGTAGTGTGTTCTCTCTCTCTCTCTCTCCCTGTACCTTTCTGCAGGTAGCCCTGGCTCTGGAGCTCTGTTTCTGATGAGCAGTCACCAGCCATATCAACCTACCCAGTGTTTGATTGTTTGTCGTGTCTTGTTGCTTTTCTTTTCTCTCTCCTCTATCCACTCACCCTAACCAGTCAAAGCAGAAGGCCACCCACCAAGAGCCTGGGTCTGTTGGTTTCTTCTGTTAAAGGGAGTGTTTCCTTCCCACTGTCGCCAAGTGCTTGCAAGCTCAAGGGGGATTTGTTGGGTTTTCCCTCAGCAATAATAGTGATAACAGTAAGGTCTAGACCCTACTTTGTAAAGTGTCCTGAGATGACTTTTCTTGTGATATCAATATACAAATAAAATGTCATTTGATTTGATTTTGATTCTCCACTACTCTGGAGTTGCCCGTGGTGAGAGGCGGCGGACTGGTGTGGGCTTGCTTATAGCCCTCCCGCTTAGCCTCCACGTGTTGGAGTTTACCCCGGTGAATGAGAGGGTCGTTTCCCTGCGCCTTCGGGTCGGGGATAGGTCTCTCACTGTCGTTTGTGCCTATGGGCCGAACAGCAGTGCAGACCACCCGGGCTTCTTGGAGTCTCTGGGAAGGGTGCTGGAAAGTGCTCAGACTGGGGACTCCGTTGTTCTACTCCGGGACATCAACGCTCACGTGTGCGACAACAGTGATACCTGGAGGGGCGTGATTGGGAGGAACGGCCCCCCGCCCGATCTGAACCCGAGCAGTGTTCTGTTATTGGACTTCTGTGCTAGTTACAGTTTGTCCATAACAAACACCATGTTCAAGCATAAGGGTGTCCACCAGCGATGATCAACTTTGTGGTTGTTTCATCTGACCTCCGGCCATATGTCTTGGACACTCGGGTGAAG